TCATACGCAGCAGCAAATATGAAATAAAGGTCGGACGAAATCGTGGAACCCTTCAAACTCCACCTTCAGCTAAGGCTAGAACAGGCACGGCTGTCCTAGGCAGAGGTAGAAGTTGTCATGAAGTCTTTCATATCATCGGTGCTTAGCAAGGAGGTGCAGTGTCGTACACACATCGACTTCTCAAATTCCCGGTCAGTTTTTCCTGCCTCTTTGTCATTTTGTGAGCTGCAGCCTTGCTTCGCATTGTCTTGCCGAAGTACAGCTCAAAGAGACGGCGCGCTCCCAGGTGCGCCTTGCGCCTCCCCATGTCCGGTTGAGTCAGCCGCCTCAAGAGCGGCCGCAGTCCCAGTGCCATACATTCTGGTTGGGTTGGGGCCTGTGTACTTGAGAAGCTCTTCGGGTTGTGATACCCCAGACGAAGTTTGAGGAAACTATGGTCACATGGAACTCTGAATAAGGAGCACAGCGGGATGTTTGAGAAGCATCTTGCTCAAAGGGAATTCTGAAATAAGGAGCGCAAGGCGTTGATGTTGGCTTTCGAACTCGTGCTCTCCCTGTGAAGTGGGAGCCGCTGGAGAAGCCTTGAAGCTTCTACAAGTAAGTAGCCGCTCCCAGCCCTTAGACCTCAAACGTCCTTGAATCCTATGTGGAAGGGTGGCGACGCGAAGGGAAAGGGAAGTCTCCGAGCATCCTGAAGGGTTCCATTCGTATGCAGGGGGGGGAGGGGGGGGAGGGGGGGGAGGGGGCTGAGACGAATTCTTGACGGGGCAATCAAGAGTGCCCGTAGTTGTTGAAGCGCATGCGTGCTGGCTTAAGCCAAGCCGGCTGTAGCTAAGGTGTTTCCAGTACCCGTTTTCTCTTGCACCATGCCATGCTGCACCGTTGCAGCGATACCTCTTGAATTAATTTCACGCTTTCCAATTTCTCTAACTTGATGTGACTGCCATTCATTAACTGACCTAAATGTATTATTGGAGGATCTGGGTCGCTTTGTAGATACATGTAGGCAACAAGTTTAGTTTGGGAAGAGCCTGGCTATCAAAAGCACGTGAACCGGCAATTAGCCCTAAACGCTAATCCCTAAACCCGTAAACTCTAAACCCTAAACCGTAGCCCCTAAAATCCAAAGCCCTAAACCTTAAATCAATACGCCTACAATCAGGAGGATGCCTCCAGCTGTGCCGGGGCCCTTGGGTGCAGGGAGATTTCAGGGCTCAATGCCGGCTGAAACCCTGGACCCGGAAACCTAAACCCCGACCCATAATTTCCGCTGAAACTCTTTCGGCTGGAAATTCAGTGTAGCCATCGCAACCCCAAGGTTTAGAGTTTAGGGTTCAGCATTCAGAATTTAGGATAAAGGGTTCAGGCTTCAGGGGTAGGTTTTGGAAGCCACAGAGACTTCTGTGAATGACAGATCACCGTCCCGCAGGACCACCTTTCACAACAGCGAGGTACTGTGACATAGCAAGAATGTGCAGAACCCGGAATACTCGACGTTTTATTCCTGAGGACTCCTTATGCTGATGCTACAGTATTGCAACCCAAACCCCTATTCAAACGAGCCTTCACAGAACCTTGCCCCCCTATAGAACCTTGCAAGGAGCCTTGAATTGGACATAGTTGAGCCTTGTCTGATTCTGAAGACCCTTCCACTAAAACCTAAACCCCGTAAGCCCTAACCCTTAAAGGAACCCTTTTCAGAGATGCCATATACATCTCTAAAGCCTAAACCACTTAGAATACGTAAACCCAAGGGCCAGCTAAGGGGCCCCAAGACCCAGTTCACCCTCATGGGGCCATTGTTTGAGGCAGCATCGGGTTCAGGGTATAAGGGTTTGAGCACTTAGATCTTGGGGGGGCAGCCGTAGGAACAAACGCCTACGAAATCCGAACGAAACCAGTAGAAACCAGCTTTGCCAGGCCTTTTACTGCCCGAAAGTCTCTGGTGCCTGATGCCGAGTGCCTACCTCAGTTCCGCCTGTGTTTGAACTGCGAGGATTTTGAGCTTTAAGGTTTTGGGGTTGGGCGACTGTTTACATGTATCCATGGACAGCGACACGACCCGCAAGCCTTTTTAAAGATGACTTTGATCATGAAGGGGGTGAGGAAGATTTGCGGAGAAGCAAGCCATCAGAAGGTTAGGTGGATGACCACATTAGACTCATTAGACTAAGCCAAGCTGTGTGACTGGCTCAGCTTCACTGTGAATTACACCTTACTCCTTGCTGCGCAAAAATGTTGAGTATCTAATCTGCAGCTGAGTCCGGTAGATGCTTGCACGAAGCCCACCAGTGTGTTCTGACAGCAGCTGAAACCTGCGGAGCCCCACACCCGGCCATACCCTAAACCCAGAAACCACAAGCCCTGAACCCCAAAAACCCCGAAGCCCTAAGCACTAAATGCGAACCCCCCCACCCTAAACCTAAACCCTAAACCCTACATCATGAACCCCAGTAAATCTAGACCCAGCTAAGCCTTCGGAAGCTCCCGACCTTCCCAGTTCGCGGGTGCGGCAGCCCCACCTTCAGAAATCCTTGGTGCAGGAGAGCGGGCCAGAGCTTAGAGTTCAATACGGTCGCCTTGTTATTCAGAATATGCTTAGGGGCATATGTTTCATACTGTAGTTATGACAAGGCTGAATGAATATCACTTTACGAACATTGGATTTTGGAATTCATCATGTTATGTCCTTCTATTACTTTTTATTGAGGATCCCTGGGGCGCAGCATTCTAGTCATCAAGGCCCCTGCATGAGGGAGTCTGGAGTCTCATTCCTAGCAAGCTCTGTGGCAAAGGAACCTTTAGAGTAGCTCTTATGGCAACCCTTACAGCAACCTTAGGAGTTTGGGTGGAAAGACCAGTAGTCAATCCCCAAGAGTTCAACTGTTTGCGTCTGCTGCGATGGTTGCTGCTCGTGCCCATGGTTCCAATTAAAGTTCCTTCTTGTCGGTGTAGCGGTGCATGCTTTCGTACATTTTGGTTAGGGTCCAACAGGAACGCAGACTCTTGGGTATGACCACTAAGAATGATGTGAAGCGACTGAAACTACCATGACATGATGAAGGCGGTGATTCCGGTAATGGTAGTGCCGGTAATTAATTAGCTTGGACGGTCGTGATGTTTGGGTGCCTTAGTAGGGCGTAGGGGAATGGAATCGTCCCGTTGGAACCCTGTCATCAACGGCTCGATGAGCCCTTCCCGTCCAAAACGGTTACATTCATTCCTCAGTTTCCCAGGCCACCCAAAGTCTTCAATCATCAAGCTCCTCAACCTGTGTAAGCATCCTACACCCTGGACTACAGACCTGCAAGCTCCAAGTCCCTAACCCCTACACAAGGATCCGAGCCCCCAACTCTTAATCCTTACATGGCAGTTCCTGCCGAATGAAGGAATCCGTGAAGTTCGAGCGGCGCACAAGGTTCTGCCATCTTGGGCGGGGGCTGGTAACTCTATGTTGGGGATGAAGGGGAAGGGCTGTCACTTGTTTTTTTTGGTGTCGCTGGTTGTTGTTTTTTTCTTTCCTGTGCGTGTGTGTGTGTCACTTGTGTCTCTTTCTATCTGTTCGAAGCAGCAGTCTCGAACCAGAGGCGACCAGTAAGTCAGCCCCTTCATGAAGGCCGTGTATGTAATTGTGTTTCCTGCCGTGACTTCTAATTCCACATAGGGGCTCTGTCGATTCAGGAGTTTGGGGATGAGTTCGGGTCTCTTCACCGTCGAGGTCAACTGTTCGTTATGGTTCGGTTGGCCTAATTGTCAAGGGAATTGTCAAGCCCAGCTTCCACATGTCCACACGGCGAAAGCTCCACACGTCTGGATCCCCTGTTGCGGGGATCGCAAAGCCTGACGCTGGTCAGAAAGCCTCAGCCCGCAGAATTTGAAGCCCGCGCCTATGCAACATGTGAAAGCCTGCAAATCTCAGTGCCAACCACAGTCCCGAACACCAAACCCCAAGCCCTAAGCTTCCGCTGCGCACAGGCAAACCGAGCAGGTTGGACCCTGAGCTTGGCATTTTCTGACATAAGACCGGCCCGGTACTTATACCCAAAGCCCTGAAGAGTTTCATGGTTGTGCATATGTACTACATTCTTACAGTGCCGCTTGAAGCTCTGCGGCTGAACATCTCCCTAAGCGTCCATGGCCTTGAAGTGGTCCCTATGTAGGCACTGCATATACTATTTGGGAACGTGGACCCTTCGGATCAGGGCCCGAAAGTAATTTGGATCCTGCTGTATAGATGCTGTCTCAAGTGGTCACACTGGTCCAAGGACCAGAATGACGAGTGGACGACCGGAGAGGCCTCCGTCTTGGAATAGCATCAATAGGGCTCTCAGAATTCAGCATATGTAACGACATATCCATTGAATTGTGTGTGTAGCTATAATATATGTGTATATGTATATGCATGTATTTATGTATGTATGTACGTATATGTATATGTATATGTCTATGTATGTGTATAAGACTTGCAGTTTACAGTCCACGCTGTGAGCAGGAACCGTTCTGACCATTCATGTCTTCAAGAAGCAAGGAACTCGATCCAAGTCGCCTCTGACTCTCGTGGACTCCCCGAGTCTCTAAGACCTTACACGCTCAAGTTAACCTGTTCGCCCGCAAGCCGACGCTTTCAATATTCCTCCGAACACCCGGGGCCTTAAAACGTATTTTGACCAGGATCTTCCATCAGCCAACAGTCGAGACCGAGACCGATGGGCTCACCGGGTCGGCACGGCACTGGCCCGAGAGGGTTTAGGGTTTGTGTAAAACGACAAGACGAAACTCAAAAGCACCGGGACCCTGGCCTAGACCCTGCAGAAGCTTACAACCGCCCCCCCGAAGAGCCCCCGACCTACAAAGTAAAGACCCCCGCCGGGGGAGCCTTTTCTCGCGAACCAGAATGCCTCGGATTTGTGCTGTCGTCCTTGCGGCAGGGGCCTCCGATTTGTGCTGTCATCCTTTGCAGCAGGGGCATTGGTTTTACACAGGTTAAAAGTTCTGTCCTCCTATTCGGAGGTTTCGCCTACTCTCTTGACGAAGGGTAATCGGATGCAACTGCAAATTGTGTCCCACCAGCCATCCGGACTTTTCGGCTTAGTCAAGATATCGGCAAGTTGGAACTCGGTTGGCACCCAATAAAGAGGAATTCTATCCCGGACGCGCTCCAGGTCGAATGTTTGTCTAAGAGCAGCTAGGTCTATAGCCAGGCGTTTGTCTGACGGAACCCGCGGTACTCCTTCACGGTGAAGATGATCATAGAGGGATTTGCAATCTGTCAGGCATCTGAGCTTGGATCCCGCAACATCGTTAATCTTCTTCAGGCTTCCGTGTAGCACTGATTCCACGAATGAGCGGACATACTGGCCCATCTCCACGGCTTCAGAACAGGCAGTGGTCTCGGCAGCGAAGGTTGATCGGCATACCCTAGGATTAGCCGTAGATTTCCAATCGATGATGCTAGCCTCGCCGCCTCCACTTTTGAAGCCGTTCGCATCAACGAGGGCAATGAGGATGCCCATTTGGCTAGCAACCTTGGAATTCTCCTTCTTGGCTTTTCGTGCCTTCCTGTCGAAGGGGCCTTCCTTCATAGTCCCCTTTTCATGATCTTCGGGACTCAGAATAAAGTGCTCTTCCCCTTCCAACAGTGCATTAGCCCAGGCAGAGTCGTGATAGACTAAGTATTCCAAGGATGACAAGTCAAGTGGACGAAGCCAGATCCCCTTATCCCTGTGCTCCCAAGCTCTCTTTGCGATCTTATTGGTGAACTTGATATCCTCAACCGTCGGGGTTTTCTGGAGTTGTTGCGCAAGTGACACACTGCACTGAAGATCTGGTCTCGATTGTGCACTCAACCAAGACAAGGCACCAATAAGGGATTGGTTGTCGACCCTTTGCGCCTCTGTTGCTTGTTCCAGTTCATCTTGACCCTTCTGTACTTCAACTTCGAATAACCTGGAACTAGCATAAGACTCCTGACCCACAAAGACGCCCTCTTCGCTGACCTTGACGTGAGATCCGATGTACTCAAACATGTCGTCTTCCCAGTCGTCCACTGGAAACACTGCAGACAGCGAGCTCTTGATACAGCCCACAAGGTCTCTAGGGCCTACCGTTAAGAGATCATCGACATGAACCCCGACATAAGCGAGTGGTTTGCCAGATTCGGGATCGCACAGCTGAAATAGACATGGATCCAAGGGGCATTGTGTGAACCGAAGAGTCAGTCCTTGGAAATCGATCTTGATGCTCAGCATATCTCGCCTCAATCTCCGCCACCACTTCCTAGGCGAGTCGGGTAGCCCGAATATCCCTTTCTTCACCCTGAAAAGCTGTTCTGGTAGAAGACCTTCCACACCACCTCTAGGCTGACGAAGATACAGTTCCCTCTCCAACGGGTCTCCGTTCAAGAATGCCGCCGTGATGTCTCCAGCTGATGCCATCCATCCTAACTTCGAACGACGACTGGCTACTATCTGCAGCAAAGTGAGAACTGTGAGGCGCCCGATGGTGGGAGCATCCGTCTCAAGGTGTTGGATGTCTGGGTCTCTGTGTCCTGAGACTACTAAGCGTGCTTTGTGTTTCCAAGGAACACTCGCATCGATCTTCCGACGACTCCAATGTTTATCTCGATATGCGAATCTCGAAGAGAGGATCCTGCTGCTGTGTACACGATCGTACACCTCGGCGGATTCTTCGACCGAAAGAGGTTCCAGTGCATCATGTTCATAGTGCTCTTTCGTCTGTTTTAGTTCCGCGGCACGAAATGCAGCATGTTCTTCCGGAGGCACCAACTTCCAAGGTATCTCCTTTTCGAGCTGCTTTTCGAGGGCTCGCTCCGTTTGGCACCGCTTCAACATGTTGGCTGAATGGACACGAACTCCCTGGCCCTTTCTTCGAACCCGTCTAGAAACAACAGGAGGCACATCAGAAGGGTCACCGTCACGCTTAGCACCCCGAACATCGTCATCAACAACCATGTCCTGTCCATCTTCCTCGGGGAGACTGGGCTCGTAGTCCATGTCCTCGAGGTCGTTGTTTGGGAACTCCTGGAACGGATCTTCAAACTCTGGGATCTCTTCATCAGGGGGTTGGTATGTGTCGGGGTCATCAGGATCCAACTCGAGGAGTTTCTCCAAATCGTCCCTCACAATCCTGGTGGAGAAGAGCTCTCCGAGCTCTTCAGAGGTAGCCGGCCTCAAGTGTTCTTCGGCAACCAAGTGACAACGTCCCCCGAACGACACCCACCAGTTGCCGCCTTCGTGGCCAATGATGGTGCCCGGTCCCCGCCATTGCCCACGTTTTGTAGCAATCTTCTCGATCCTATAGAAACATACAAGCTCTCCGACCGCATAACCGCCTCTCTTGACACGCGCTCTCTGGATCATCCCTCTGCGAAATTTCGAGTCGATCTGAGTTCTGAAGAATGCCATGCGTGCCGAGGCTCTGATGCTAACTTCACGTTGTCGACGTTGGTCACCGGACATGATCTCGATGAATCTCTCCTCGTCAACTCCGGACTCTAGTTCTTCGGGTGCTCTGGGGTCTTTACCGAATACGGCTTGTGTAGGGGAGAAACCATGTCTACGTCGAAGTTCATTCTTAGCGCTGTTCACCGCCTGGACCGCCATGTACATGTCGTCACTCGTGATGGACTTCTCATCAATGACCCTCTGGAGTATCTCCTGGTACCAGTAACCGTGTCTCTCGATTACCCCTTGTTGCCAGTGTGCTTGTCCAGCTGAGGATCTCACCCGGCACCCGTGGAACTCCGCGTACTTGGAAACTCCAAGCTGGAGCCCGCTCTCTAAGTCCGCTGAAATCGTCCCAGGAGCCCCGAAAACGTTTCCCCAGAGTTGGGTGAACTGCCTACAGAAATCCTCGCCGGAGTGACCCTCAAGCTCGCACACCAAGTGAAATGTAGTGGCGTGGTCAATGATTGAGAGAAACTCATGCCGCACACGATCCGAGTCAAAGACCGAAAAGACATCGACACTGACCACTTGGTTCATGTCTAGAAGTGAAGGTAGCACCCCCGGTCTAGCGCTCCCGGTCCTCTGGTTTCGATCGCAAACTTCGCATCGCATCCCTTTGCAGGCCTTGATCACCTCGTCGTCAGCACCGGCGAACCTCAAATGACGAACTAGGTCAGTGATCTTTGGGTGCCCTAGGTTCTGATGTAGTCTGGTCAATGCGGCCTGGACATGCTTCGGCACATTCTTGTTGAAGTGAATAGCTGATGCACCTAAGGGTTCGTGTCGATCTTTCTTATCATCGTGGGATACAACATGCGCCTCATGTTCAAGATTGCCGCATTCTCCGCCTGAATCTCCGGTATCATGAAGTACTCCCCCTACACGAAGAAGCCACGCTTCACCTTGGTCTTCTAGAAGATGAGCGTTCTCATTCATGAAGCATTTCATGATCCTATTCTCCCAGACATGATCGTTCTTGTCGGCATGGTATACAACAGAACCGCCATGTTCTAGCTGCTGTCCGGCAGTGGCCACGATCTGCTCAATGAAATTGTTGCTCTCATCACAACCTTGAAACCAAACGACATTGGGCTTAAGATTGTTGATCACGTCAGTCACTTTCAGAGCATGGTTAGTATCAACATAGTCGCCCCAACTGAGAGGTTCGATGGCCTGAAAACCCGCCTCGATCATGTCCAGCGTCAACTCATTGCCGCCGATCTCGAAGAGGCATGCCTGATGCGGTGGTTTTCCAAAGGGTATATTCTCTGAGATGAACGACGATGCCGCTGCGAGACTGAGAGTGAGGAGCGAACTTGCCCTTCGAGCTCCCTTCCAAAGGTTCTTCCTAATGCTCTTCTTCGGCCTCGTCTCATGCTCTTTCTCCCAAGCACATGCACCTTCACTTCTGCCCAAAGGGAAACCGGAGCTCCTGAGAACATCACGTTCGGGCCTGCTAAGCTCACCAATCCCACGAGTGACATAGGCGATGATGCTGCAACGATTCCCTGTCCATTGTTCTACGGCATGTTTTCGCTTGGGACAGAACTTGTACATGTTATGTCTTGTATCCACCAAGCATCCGATCGCCTTGGAGCCGTCGGCAAGGATCGCCTCGCGGGACTCAATGGCGTCTGGAACCTTGGTTGGGTCGTTGTGTTCTAGCCAAAGACGTCCGCCCTCAAAGTCCCCAAAGGAAATAGTCCAATTGTCCCCAAGGTTGTGAACGTCTTTATGGGGACCGACATGACAATTGAAACACAACTGCACACTACTCCACTGACCCTTGGCACCATGGAAACGCATGAAGGCATTCACATACTTCGTCACGTACCAATGCTGATACGTGCGCCGGATCACCCCATAGTGGTTCCCATGGGAGTAGGCCCCGAAGGCCACACTGCACGTGCCATCCATGATCTTGCGCTTTCTACTAGCCTGGCAGTGTTCACACACGTCAATGAGGAGCCCTTCACATGCTTCGAAGCTGAAGTCTTTTCTGCGAAGAAGGTCTCGCGCACGATGTTCGCTAGAGACTTTGGTGACTCCAGCATCTGTACTGAAGTCGCCGTTTCGGCATTCATAGAAGACTTCCCCTGACGCAATCTCCACATCACGTACCCCGGGGAGGACATGGATCTCCTGGGTCTTAACCTCGAAATCCGGTTCGCTCTGAAGGTCTTCATCCTCAGAGCTATCACCCCCATGGGCGTCACCACTTAGAGATTGTAGCGATCCTTTAGCGATGCCACCTTCGCCATCAGCTCGTCGATCTCCTTTTTTACCTCTGGAGGCACATCTTGATTCATCATCGCCTTCCCGGGCTCGCCCTGATGATCCGTGGTTCGCTTCACCGATGGGGACCGCATAGCGCTCTTCGGCGCAGCCATCGACACCTGCCTTGAGTTCGCCTGGCTGTTGAGCTTCCGGGCCTCGGGAGACAACTCGCTCCACCCCTCGGATCCCCAGCTCACCACCGACTCCACGTCCTGCGGCACTGGCACCATGGAGTTCATTTCCGGATCCTTGTTGTTCACCTCGGGAACCTCCTGGAGGACTTGCGCCGCGAACCTGCTCAGGCTCACTAAGTCCGGGCTGGACCCTTCCGGGCCCCGCTCCTTTACCTCTGCCAAAGCCCAGCGAAGATAACTCTGGGGTACTTCCCGGAACAACTTGCCGCGGTGTCGCCCGAAACTCACCACCGCATCCCCTTTGTTCCTGGTGCAACAGTCCCGGATGAGGAGGGTCAAGTGGCCATTCGTCGCCTTCTCGGGCACCTCGATTTCCAACAACCGGCACTGCTCTAGGAGTTGGGCTTTGTTCATTGATGCCAACCCTTTCGGGACCTCTGAGATCTCGCCCATGGCCTTCTTCTTCTCCTGGATAAGCTGGCGAATTTCGCCCACACTCCAAGATTGGTGGATCGTGATCCCCATGCCCATCGCCTTCGAGATGAGCTGCGCCTTCGTCATGTGCCACACATTCCCCGTTGTCTCGGATGAGGAGGCCATCTTCAGGAGCAGCAACCGCAGGATTCGAGAGGGAATCTTCAAAAGGAGTGCTACAGGAAGCTCGGGAGAAAACAGTCCTGCCGACCCATAGAACTGGATGTTGTGAACTCGTTTCCCCTCTCCATGCGTCATGCACTTGATGTAACGCATGCGAACTCCCACATGAAATTGCCGAGGTGCACCTCATCTCCCCGATGGCGTCAAGAAGCATCTCCTTGATGTGGATCTGATCGGTGCTCCATTGGCTCGGGTCGAACAGTCCTTTTCTGGGAACTACGTGGATTCTCACAAAGGCACTTGGTGTCTCAATCCAGAAGTCCTTGGTAATAGGGGTTCGACTCCACCAAGCTGCAAACATTTCATGATTAAGGGCAGTGGCACTCAAGAGATTCCGGATAGTCGGGTTGATCTTCTTGGGGTAAAATAGTCTTGGAGTCACACTCGCCAGCGGTCCTCGCGAGGGAAGTTTGCTATCTACACCTCCGCCAACATATTGGTGTTCGACCTCAAGATCGTGAGACGAGGTCATGAGAGATGTATGCACCGTGTATTGCTTCCTGGCGAGAGGGAGTAGCTTCACCTCATCATCAGCCCACTCTTGGGGTGACGGCAACTTGGGATTATGACCTACCCTCGGATTCACGATCAAGGCGGGGTGGCCATTGTCAGTGGTCGAAAGCATGATGTTGTCGACTCCCAGGTGCTTGAACCGTGCCGTGTTCTCATCGACATCGTACACCATGCCCAAAACACTCAGGACCTTCCGACTGAGAAGGAGCGGAACCTCACCCTCGACCACCGAAGCCCTGACCGCAAACGGTTTACCGCCAACCTCGATCAAGATGGTTGCTGTGTATGTAGCTCGGAAGAGTTTCGAAGCACCAAACCTGAAATCGTCCGAGGCGTTCACAAACTGGGTTTCCAGGCCCGCGTTCCTCGCCAGTTTCAAGTAGGATTCAAGCCATCCTTGACCCATAACCGACTTACTGCAAGCGGTGTCCGTGATTGCATACAGTTTGTTGCCACTCGGGTACCCGACCTCGTAAGCAACCTGAACAACCGATCCGCTCCCATCACCGCTGGAGGATGTCACATGGGCCTGTTGATCCCCGCCGGACTTAGGGACATTCCCTTTGTTGCCGAGCTGCTGGTTCTCCGGTTTGTTGAGAGGACATGTGCTGTCCTTGTGCCAGTGTCCTCGCCTGCCGCACCCGGCGCAGAACGATCGTGCCTTCGCCTGTGCAAGGCGCTCCTCGATGTTGGATTTCCCCGGATTCTCACTGACACCCTTCCGCAGCACACTAGGATCCACACCCCGTGCTTTGGAGACCTCACGATATCTGGCTTTTGCGGTCTCCTGAGCTACATACGCCTCGTGCATCGCAACGGCTTCTTCCTCTGCAAGCACCTCGTCATCTGCCCCCTGGTAAACCTCCTCATCCTCATCAACCTCATCGACCCCAGTCATATAGGAAGCCTTGACCCCCTTCTGCCCTTTACCGCCAATGTCCTGATAAGGCCCTTTCCGGGGTTGCCAAGGAGGGCGTAGGGACTTCTCATGCAACACTGCTGCGCGCTGCAACTTTGTCACATTGTACTCATTCCCTACCGATGCCAGCAAAGCCAATTCCTCTGAACTGCTCAGGCTAAGCGCGTTGAGATAGGCCCATGCCTTTGCCACCTCTGGGAGGCGGCAGTCGATTTCTAGGAGTCGGGAGTGACTCCTATCGAAAGCCGAGTTGAATTCCCTGATGGTTTGCCCAGATTGACGACGAAGCCGCTTAAAGAATGCAGTAAGGCTTTCCGCAATCTTTGACACTTCGACTTCCTGATACCTTTCTTGAATCCAAGCTCGAAAGATTGATACACCGTTGTTGCCCGAGAGATCCTCAACGCTCAATTCCTCTGATTCAACCCATGCCCTTCCCGAGAGGTTCTGATAGAGTAGAAGGGCTTGCTGATGTTTGGGTGTCCTCGTTACCTTGCACCATGCGTCCACCTGGCGAAGATAAGACCTAGCGCTCATGCCAAGCTCCTCCCCAGAACTCTGAGCATCGAATCCCGGAACTGCCATCCTCTCGTTGAAAGAGCCCTTCGTAGCTGTGGCCTCGGACCCCAGGTTCCCATCATCTTGTGAATTAGAGATCCCTGTCGATGAGTCTCCAGCCCACTTCCCGGAAGAATTCCAAGAAGCCCTCCGATTGTAACCCGCATTCTCGCCCTCGGAACTGCGGAGCTCATGCGATGGATGCTCATCTTGGCGCCCACCTGAGCCCTGATCATCATCACCCTCGCCCGGTGATCCACTGGAGAAATCTCCACCGTCTGTACTCCACTCGGCCTTTGAACCCCAAGACCAGTGATAGCGGTAGCCGTATGGTCTATACCATCCCTGCCAAGCCCATTGATCACCCCGGTTCCAAGAAGAATCATCCCAAACCCTTCCGTCACCTTGATCCTGAGCCCGAGCAGTCTGATCACTCTGATCCGTAGCAGGAGCGTTGCTGTAATAGGAGGTAGGATTACTTGCTCCAGCACCCGAGAACGCCATTGGCGCGTAGGCACTACGAACCCCCAAAGAGACAAAGAAGCCCTGAAGGCAGCCCTCACCGACAACACAACGAGACAAGAGAACAACGACACACTACAGGAAAGACCCGGAAAGCGGCCCGGGCTCCGCTACCAATGTAAAACGACAAGACGAAACTCAAAAGCACCGGGACCCTGGCCTAGACCCTGCAGAAGCTTACAACCGCCCCCCCGAAGAGCCCCCGACCTACAAAGTAAAGACCCCCGCCGGGGGAGCCTTTTCTCGCGAACCAGAATGCCTCGGATTTGTGCTGTCGTCCTTGCGGCAGGGGCCTCCGATTTGTGCTGTCATCCTTTGCAGCAGGGGCATTGGTTTTACAGTTTGGGGTTGAGTCGGGGCTTCCTCAGAGCTCGGAAACCGCTCAAACACACCAAGCAGATGCCGAACGTCGGCGACAACACGTCGGCGTCTGCAGAGAGTCGAGCTCTGACGCCAAGAACACCCCGGAACCCATCTGCTTTGTTTGGGCATGCTTGAGCCAATTTGAACCCATGCTGTGAGGCCACGTCCATGTTGTAAAGCTCTTGTCTCTGGGGCGGGGCAGGCTGATGCGAGGGAGATGAAATAAGCATTGAAAGCATCCGCTTCACCAGACTTAAACAACACGCTCTACCTGCTGTATAGGTCAAGGGAACTCTATAAGTCGACAGGTTTCGAGTTGGACCAAAATCGCGCTCTCTTTACATTTCTCGTGGTGGAGTGGCGCAGGATGGCGCAGGGTGTCAGATACCAGTACCCCACTACGCACAGACGGGCATTGAAGTTACAACCGAAACTAACCTCAAGGCCAGAACCTGTGCATGGTTTTGGGTGGTCATGTGTCAGATTTAACAAGCACCTTTGGAAATTTCTCTCGTAGTAAAGCGGTCTGTACCTGAACAATTAGGAATAGTATCCCTTGAGGGTCTCTACAATGATAGCATCATATGCCCCCAAAACGTTCTTGAGGTCTGTGTAGTAATAGTAATTAGTTGTGTACCATAGGGTATGCGTACGGAGATTGCAGGGCCACCAGTTCATGAAGGAACATCACTCTAGAATGTGTCAGAGTCATAGTCATGTTGCGGTTATTTGCGCTAGTACATAGTAATGGTAATTACTTGTGGGTTCTCTGAAGTAGGGCTTGCTTCAGTATTCTCAGTGGGTCATCCATCTTGTGATAGACATCGCAAGCCGGGACCCTACTTCGACGGCCTCCAAAAAATGGGCTGTTCAAAGGGGCGCTCAGGCATCCAGAGCTTCCATGCACAAGTTAAAGCCATATATGTATAGTTATATGTACACACACATATATGTGCATAACATATTATAACCAACTGATTATATAGTGATTCTACTATTTATCAGAGCATGTAACATGCAACATATAAGACGCAATCTGTACTCCATAATACATTGTATATGTAGTATAGTATAATAAGATATGATATGCCAAAGAGAAGGGCCATATAGCTTAAGCCTGCCGGGCCAAGGGCACACAAGAGTCGCTGGACTCTTCTCTGTCTCGCGCGAGCGGGTGACTCGTGCAGCAAAACCCCACACGAGTATCTCACGATTTCCGGATTGCAACTTCAGCTTTCAGGATACAGGGAACTCCAGAAAGTTGGAATATGGTTTCAGGGTAGGATACCTTATAAGTTACCTTAAAGGGGATACGATAATGATATTCCAACTTTCTGGCTTTTACTGTAGTTCCACAGCCACCGGCATGAAGTGACATCTTCGTGTAGTTGAAGCTCCATGGCTTTGAGGGCCTCACCCAGAGCCTCCAATATCCCTTAATTAAGGAACATTGCTTAAATCATATAAGGGATCCTAGTATAATTTAAGGTATATTCCTTAATTAAGGGGTTTTGGAGGCTCTGGGCACATGCATCATGTCCTGAGGAAGCGGCTGTCTGCTGATATCGTGCAGATAGGTTTAGGTTCAGAAGGATAAACAGTTTTCTGTTGATTCTATTGGGTCTGAGGGCTATGTGCTTGGTGCTGAGCTGAACCGATATGAATATTAGTATTTTCATGAGTAGTACTATTTATTTGTATGACTATGCTTACTATTTCTACAACGATAGGACTGTTACCATTGCTATTGCTACTATGATTTCGCTATCTTTCGAGATCACAATCATATGCTGAACAAGCCGAACATGCTCGAAGCTCTCAAGCCTGCACCCAAGACCTAAAAGGACCCGTTTATTTTTGCAAGTATATTCTTATGCTTCTAACATGTGTAGTTGTGTATCATTTCTGTATAAATGTAGATATAGATGTAAACACATGCATACATATGTACAATATGCATGAAGTTCGATTCTCTGGTTTGACCAGTTTTACATTTACGGTACTATCAGGTAACCAAAAATCGAACTACAATGGAGACCATAGGTAGTCTTCGCGAACCCAAGCTCTCGACACTTTGGAAGTGCACGCCCAGGAGGAGAATACACCTCGAACGGCAACCGTTTCCGGCCATCCGACGACTTGCAACCAGTGTTTATCGGGGTTAAAGAGTCTGCAACTTTTCCATTAATTCTAGGCTGGGTTCGGAAGTTTCCAGCCTTGATGCCACGTTGAGGATTTTGTGAAGGTCGGGTTTGAAGTCCAAAGACAGCCTTCGAATGGTGGGGAGTCCAAATTGCGAGCGGCACTTTGGGAGAAGAGCGATTTTGCATCCCCCGACGCACATGGCATTGTGACATCTATAGCTCCTTGTAAGGAGCGCAGGAGTGCAAAGGTACCCGCATCAAAGTTGACTCGGTGGCGAGGGCGCCAAAAATCATCGCCGCGATGCAGTAGGAGCTGCGGTTCCGGACTTGTGCACTGCGTGCTGCCAGCAAGTAAAGCGTCTCTGGAGCTCGAACTACGCCATACTGTAGGGCTCCAGTTATAGCTAAACAGTACGTTCCGAGTTCCGATAGCTGTATATTATGTTGCCCAGCAACCCAGTAATTTCGGGAGTTTAGAGTGTAGGATTCAGGCGCCACTCACAACCCCGGCACACGCATGTCCACGTGCCAGGCAACTGGTGCCAGGGCCCTGGTGACCTGGTGTGCGGGGAACCGCTGAATCCTGCAATCTATCGTATTGCACCACATTTTCCTATGCTGTTTTATCTTTTGCTGTAATATTTTACTCTGCTTTTATAATACTGTACTCTACTACTACTGTATACCTGGCTTCATCGAAATATCCGGTCCCCACTTGCAGTTGAAGTTGTGCGATCTGTGAGTGAGTTCTGAAGCCCCAGCTGGTGGTCGAATCCAGGCCAGCCTAGATCCCAAGCTCCAAGGCGTACATGGGACGGTGTTGGCGGAATCCGGCCTCGAACTCAGCCTACCCTGGTTTCAGCAGCTCCAGCCTCACGATAATCAGTATACTCCGTCTTCTGTTGGTCATGAGCCTTCGCAGTTTGGGGTGAGGAAGACCAAGCTGACCAGGGGGCCTTCATAGTTAGAATAGGGTGTCGGGTGAAAAAAAACAACGTCGAAGTGAACGCAAGGAGCCTGAAGGATGAGTCTTGGTAGTTACAACAGGCTTAAATTACCAAGCAACGGGCATCCTCCACTTGCTGGTCGCCTGCGGAAGCTGAGCTTTGATGTGCTAACCCGACAGACAACATCGGATCAAAGGACGGGCACCAGCCTGCGGCATCAGTGCCAGCAGCAGCACCAGCAGCATCGTCGCCGTCAGCATCAGCTACATCGTTGCCATCCATACCGCCGGGCTACCACCACAGACAGCCGCCGCGGTGATTGTCATTAGCGACGTGACTTCCGTGTCGTGCCAACCAGCAACAGCAATACATGCGACGACAATGACGACGAGGACGAATAGGCAGCAACAGCAAACGCATCGACAATCAGAAAACCAACAAATACACTAGTAGCGAGAATGGCGAAAACGACAATTGCGACTATTGACACAAACAACCGAGCCAACAACCACGATTCTTGAGAATTGGGAGACCCTACAACCCTAAGAGCCTGCTCGGAGCCCAGTTGCTCACCAGACTTCATATGGAACCGATTTGGGCTTGGGATGTTTAGGGCTTTGGGTTCAGGCTTTAGGCTTGTTTTATGTAGATATTCAGGACTTAGACTTGCCCTACTTGAATAAACAACATAGTTCAATTGCTGTATGAAATCCTACCTCATCTATGTAGTCACCTTGGGCCTCCGTTTTGTTCATTCTGGACCTGAAGCATTGATCATGAAGTCTTCATGGTTCAGCCGCTCAGCCTAAAGCCACAACCTCAAACCTTCAACGAGCCATGTAGTCCTCATACATTGTGGGGAACAGTTTGGAACTCAACCATTCTGGGGGACCTGTGGCCACGTACTCTGTCCGCATCATGAGGCTACAACATGAGGAACGTTCAGGGGCCAACTCTAAACCCAAGGCCCTATATCGTAGACCCCAAGTCCTAAGCCCGAAACCGTAGCACTTAAAAGCTCAAGCTGCCAAGATCACAGCGAAGCTCATCCTCAAGAAAGTGAGCTCCCGTGATGATTTCCAGATTATTGACTTGTTTGCCAGGCCCGGGTGCATCAAGTGTTGAGGGTTACGGGTGGGGGGTTGTGCTTGTCAGATTTTGTGGTTTTGAATTTCGGTCTTATCATCTTGGAGCTTTCTTCTTCCGCTCGCTTTCGTCATTGACCCTCAGCTCCTAAAGTTTCGCAGGCCTACAGACACACAAGCCCAGTTTGTCAGTTTGACGGACCCTCGGAGCGACTGCATACCGAAGGGTCTCGTCCGTTACTGCTGCCTGTTTGGGATCAAGAACGGAACTAAGGTCGTGGATATTATTGGATCGCACAGGATAGCTATCACACATGACAACACCGTCAACAGAACAAGCCGCTTTTAGCATGTTCGCCTACGTTTTGCAGTCTTCCACTTTGTTCCCTCTGTAACCTGCTGTCTTGGTACGTTGGCTGCCATGGTTTGCCGGCTTCTGTCGC